CGCATGGCTTCGATGCGAGAAAGTGAAGCCGCTACAATATTATCTTTGCCCGATAGATATTCGATACGCGTAGTGAACTGCGAGATGAACGAAAGTTGTCTCTGTTGCCGAGGTGATGCCTTTTCGGAACGTTGCATAAACACATAGATGAGAGGCTTGTGATCAATCACAATCTTAAAATTTCGCCCTTCGAAATAACGAAAATATTTGATTGCCTCGGCGATCACCGTAAGCTCCCGATCGTACGCGCTGTAGTTCTGTTGCGCCGAATTTAATTTGCGCTAAAAGAATGCGAGCGGTTTCCACGAGTCGTCTAAACGTTGCTCGAGGGCGGCCCCGATGGCGAAATCTGACGCGTCACAAACGTGACGCGTCTCGGGTGCGTCGGAGGAGTGAGAGAGTATAGTCGCGTTGGCCAGACTCTCCTGGAACTCATTAAACGCTTCTTCAGCCGGCGTCCATATGATTGGCCGTTTATCGTTTTTGCGTGAATCGCGAAGGTACTCATTTAATGGGGCCTGAACGAAACCGCGATAGCTGCAGCAGCGTAAAAATAATAAAAAAAGAAAAATTATAACAACAGATTGATTAAGGCGTTCATCCTGTACGGTCATATTAATTTGTGCTTGTGTGTGAAATAAAGATTATTAGTTATCAGTTATAAATAAAGTCTCGATCATTATTTCTTATATCACATCACACTACAAGTATGGGCTTGTCTAGAGAATCTGACTTATCAATTGAGTCACATTATTCCCATACACCATCTAGTGACAAAAAACCGCGGATACTTTTTAGATGACCAAATATTACGAAAGATTATATTTTTATATTATTATTATTGTATATTAACAATTAAAAAGATTTACATTTCAGTTTTGTAATGTTTCTGGAATATTATAGGCATATTGTTAATTTATATTTTTGTAATATTTCTGCAATATTACATTGCAATCTGCAATATTACAACATTGCAGCAATATTGTTTCAATCTTCTGTGTTGTATGGGTGGTGTAACTTCCGCCGATAAAATAAACGCAAACGTATTTCTACTTAACTTTAAGAGATCGCATCACACATACAATTTCCAAGCTGGTGCACTCCGGTGAACATAACATTATGTTGACAATATAAAGTTGCTATAATAAATGAAATATTGCCATGATTGAAAATATATAACTAATTAATGTAACACAATATCTATAATAGTACAATAGTTATGCTTCCATTTATTTTCTTTTCTCCAATTCGTTAACAATAAATGAAAAAAGTTAATTAACAATAAATGAAAAAAACAAGAAAAAGGAACGAGTTAATAAATGTAGCCTTTAACACATTGCACAACAATGCTAAAGACTAAAATATAATAATTCCCAAATATTGAACGCCAAATAACCTAATGTTATTGCTCATAGAAATATATATATATTTATATAAAAAAAGGTATTGTATAAATATATATATATATATATTTATATATTTATACAATATCCTTTTTCTATATATAGCAATATATTTCTATAATCTTGAGAGATCTAAGTTAATAAATAATTACCAAGTAGTAATAAAATAATCAAATATATCCATTAAATCTTTTTCTCTTAGCGAGTCAACATAGACGACACAAAGGAATATCGTGCACTTATTTCTAAAGGGAGGTAATTACCCCGAAAGAATTCGTAACATAAACTAATCGTAAGCACTGGCTTATAGAAGTCCCTTTCGAAAATCAAAATTTAAAATCTCTCAAACTTTATGAAAATGAATTCCACTTTCATTATTGCAGTTACGACAACAATTGAAGAAATTTTCCACAGTTATAATTATTCTTAGTATTTTATATACATATATATTATATATTTCCTATTTAAATACTTTATACACTATAATAGTAATAGTTTAACTCTAATGTTCTAGTTTACTACAGTTTAACCTGTATAACATCTAAATATATTATTATCGTAATAAACAATGAAACTATTACCTAGCGATGAATTGAGCGTTCATAAAGAAGTACACGTATTTAAATTTAAATATATGGAACTAATCTACCGCTTTACAAGGTAAAAAAAGGAAATTAGAAGAATAAAAATCGAAATCTAAAATTACAGAATAATTATTTTATTTTTCTGTATTATTTTATTGTTTAAATAAAAGAATAGACGCTCGATTGATTGTCGCATTACCTTCTTTGTCTTATCCGAGATTCGAAGACGATAACTCGTCGCGGAGCACAGTTGTCTCCGAACACTCATCTCGTTAAGACGTCCTATTCCATGTCTCAGACGCAGATCTAACACGGAATCTTATTCTATCTTGTACGCTATTTCTTGCGCTGATCAACTTCAATCCTTATTCTAATTTATAGTAGATCTGAAAGGTAATTAATTATTATTATTATGCATATCCTAGGTTGAAATATATATATATATATATATATATTTAAGCCTAGGATATGCGTATAATAATTATAATTAATTACCTTTCAGATCTGCGATAAACTATGGACATATCCGTGCTACCCTGTTACCTCATCCTAGCTCAGCATCTTCACCCGAGACGTAACAGTAATAAGGTTCTAGTCCAGCTAGCAATCCAGCAGGAAAACAAGTATCATGTGCAGCAAACTTTAAGGTGCCTTTTTATGCTGGGAATCGATTTTATATCTGGAAACGAGGTGAAAATTACAAAAGTGAGCGAATTTACTAGAATAATGATAATTTCATTGGTCAACACCTAGTAAATTTGCTCACTTTTATAATTTTCACCTTGTTTGAAGATACAGAATCGACCCCCTGATCTCGATGCTTATTTTCGGCGTCAATTTTGATCACGTGATCTATTTTGATGTAGAAAATGAGTGTCGAGCATCATGAAAAGGCACCTTTAGTTACGAATATACCATATCTAATTGCATCATGGATTATACTATGATCTATGATCTGTATACCGGTTCATTGCAGGGTAACGCTTTTTTGTTGTCAAAACTTAATTTTTACGCGAAATTTTTACGCATCGATTGAGTGTATTTTTATCAAAATTTGAGGTGATCGGGACATTCCCCTCTTCTGAAATTTTCGAGTTAGAATACATGTATAACGGAATATAGAGAAGAATAACATAACCTATACTTGAACAGAAGAGGCGCAACATCCGGAATTTAAACGTCAATAATGCCGGTTAGTTATGTGATCGCGTTTAAAGTGTTCCCATAAAATGTCAGAAAAATTTAATTTTAAATTCTTGCATTTTTTTTTTTAAGAAGAGTGCTAGAAAAACAAGGCGTCAGCTTTTGGCAGAAAAGGCAATGGTACAGCGACGACTGATAAACAAAGCAAATGCCTTAGCAAATCCTTTGGAGACTTTGCATAAGTTCCACGAGTATATCACGAAGGATAATAACATGATCAAGCTTGCTTGCGTTAAGGCAAAGGATGCACCATCAGATTGTTTATCATGGATCTTAAATATTATGGAGAGGAACATGAAGAAAATGTATGAACAATCTAGTTGGGGCTGGAACGCAACTGAGAAACAGACGGAATTAACAGAAGAAATGGCATGGTACTTGGTAGCATCGTGTGATGACAAATTTCTTGGCTTCTCACACTTTCGATTTGACATTGACAATGGTGACGTGGTATTATATTGGTGTGTGTATTCCTATTGCCTATTCTCTTCTTATATTAGGTGTTGGAATTAATTCGTAGCGTTTTTAATGAAAGAATGTTATTTATTTCACATGAGCATTAAAAAATACATTAATGAAAGTACTTCCCATCACTTGTAAAACGCTACGAATTAATTCCAACACCTAATACATGCATGCATGCTTGGGTACTTAATAAAAAAAATTAAATTCTTAGTATGAGATATTATTTCCTCTATTACGAATAACGTCCATTAAATGTTTGTGCATGTTTATCCATCATTGGATTGCTGTCAGTGGAATTTGGCATTAAATTCCATAGACAGTAATCTGATGAGGCATAAACATCAATGTTTAAGGTATATTATTTATTTAATAGAGGCAACAATATCTTATATTAAAAGTTTACTTTTTTTTATTATGTATTTACATAAGTATTCACACAGATGTATGCATAAGTAAATCTGACTGCAAAACTTCCACATGATATGTTTTGGATAATGCCAATGTCATTAATGATCATCTGCTACAATACAAAATAGAATCAGTAGAACGATTGCCAAAGTCGTAACTTAGAACATAAAAGACATTAAGTAAAAATGTTGTAACCACTTTGTTTTTGGTCTTATTAAAATTGGTAGATTCTAAAGTTCAAAATCTACGTTAATATCATAAGGCTCTTTTCCTTTTGTGAATAGATTTTATATTAAAACACATAATTATTTCGATTTTCAACTTTACTTAAATTTTTGTATAAAAAACTTATTAGTATATAAAAAATCATGAGAGCATTTTAAAATCTGTAAGAGGTTAGCTTCCACTTCCCCTCCCCCACTTTTGGAATTAACTTATTTCGAGAATTGTGCTGAATTGTGTTAGGTTTCTGCTATAATACATTATGCCTGAATATTAAAGTCAAAATACGAAAAATACGTTAGAAAATAAAAAAAAGGCCAACCCCACTTTGTGGTTTTTTTCGATTTTCATGATTGTGCTAAATTGTGCTAATATTGTGCCAAAATGATACCTTTAAATAATGACAACAATAGAAATTATAATAAAAAAAATTTTGACAATTTGGAATAAAAATGACACTTATATAATAATTAGTTATTCAAATACGTGTGTGAAGTTGGCACCTCATCTTTTACTGTACTGTAAGTTTTGATAACAATTCCAATGGCATCCGCAATAGTTCTATAATTCCTGATAGGTTTTATAAATAGTTTTATAAATAGAAGTTAGCTTCTAGTGGCACCGCAAGATTCGGAAAAATCAATTGAAAACTATGAAATTTTATAGTTCTCGATGAGTTCTACAGTTCCTGATAGGTTTTAATGATAGTTTCGGTCTGTATTGTATTCTTGTGATGCCAGCGCGCGGGTTTATTATTTAAAATAACTTAGAGACAGGAACTATTGTTAAAATCTATCAGAAACTGTAAAATTCATCGAGAACTATAAAATTTCATAGTTTTTAAATGATTTTTTCGAATCTTGCGGTGCCACCGGAAATTAGTATCGCAAATTTTCAAGTATTATTTTTTTTAGTTAAATCAACGGAATATAAGTTATTTATAAAATCTATCAGGAACTATAGAATTATTGCGGGTGCCATTGGAACTTTTATCAAAACTTGCGGTGCCAAAAGATGAGGTGCCAACTTCACATACGTTGTTTAAATAAAATTTCATATCTGAATTGTACTAGCCTTTTTTTTTAAGGTGAGGAAAATCTTCTGATCCCCTTCAAAGAGCGATGGTCCCCTAAAGGAGATCATCCCACCATGAAAGGGAAGACCCCGGGATTGGTCTAACTCACTAGTGGGGGATTCGATGCCCTTGTCCTCTGAAGAGAAGATCCAAGGACGCATACTAAAAACCTCACCACTGTCCAGTTCGCCCCCAATCTGGCGTCCGTAAGCGTCACCGCTTTTGCCAATTTAGCTATCTTGTCGCGGAAGGTCAACGATCGCCTCGTGCTCTTGGGTCATCGGCAGGAACTTAGTATTGTTGCCTTCGTCGCCCCCTTATGGGGGGATGATGGCCGTCGCGTCGACCTTCCTACGAGGCTGGGGGAAGGATCCAATCCTCCTCCCTTTCTCTTTCTCCTTCTTCTATCACATCATATTGTCGCAAAAGGAGGAGATCACCTTCCAGTTCCCGTCCCCTTCCTCCAACTATCTTTTAGATGATGTTCGGGAGGAACAGATCATCTTCTCAGTAAAGGTACAGCGCTCCATGTGCTATGTTGGACATTGTACTAGCGTGTGGAGCGTCGTATCCAACCCGGCGTCACAATGATGACACCGGAGTGTCTCCTCCCTGTCTATACGGTGCAGAAATTCCCCGAAGTACCCATGACCGGAGAGTATCTGCACCGTATAGAAGGACAACTCGCTTCACCTCGGGCTCGGTCCACCTACTGCCTGAGACACGGCTGGATTGCTTCGACGGTCTGGCAGAGTTTAGGAGTAACTTCTCCCACTCTTTGAAGTCCTTTCGCGAGTTATGCTAGTTTAGCACAAGTCAGCACAATCTCCAATCCTTGATACAACGATATTAAGGGCACTTTATTCTTGCGTGCGGACTTTGGCGCTCGGCTTTTTTTATTATAGCATATCTCAAGATTAGGGGATGAAACCTCCTCGAAAAAATGAATTTTATCGTTTTTAGTGAATACGTCAAAAAAGTGAATACGTCATTATATAGAGCTATAGAGATACACAAAATATCATAAAACTTTTGTATTAAACATTTTTTTATATATCGCATAGTTTCGAAGATATTTGCTAAATACAATAATTTCAAGGGGGTGTTTTATCCCCTTGAATGATTTTTTTTATCGTAACTTCTATTATTGTCTATTATTTGAACTACTTTGACACAATATTAGCACAACCTAGCACAATTATGAAAATTGAAAAAATTGCAAAGTGAGAAACTGGACTAAAAAATCGTTTTTTTTTTTAATTTTCTAACGTATTTTTCATATTTTGACTTTCATATTCAGGCACAATGTAGCACAAATCTAGCACAATTCAGCACAATTCTTAAAATAAGTTAATTCTAAAATGAGGGGGGGGGGGGCTAACTTTTTACAGGCTATTTTAAAGAAAAAACTTTGACGGTCTTTTTTTTGTTATTTTACAAATATCGTTTATTCCTATGTCTTTTATGAACAGTCAATATCAAAAAGATATATTTTTTCTTTAACGTTGAATAACTTTCTCAAAGAAGAAAAATCGTGCAATACTCAACAAAAAAGCAAATTAAAGGTAATGATTTACGCTTTCGAAAGATATAAGCTGTGTCCGATTTCTTATTACAGCACGAAATTTTCCAAGATTCGAAAAAAAATTTCGAAATTTTATGGATTTTTTTATAACCGTATATCTCCATAACAATTTATCAAATCGTTTTAGAGTACAGATCTGAAAAACAAAGATTTTAAGCTACAAAATATTTTTTCGTACATCTCTCATTCTGACCATTTTTGTAAAAGTTACTCTTATTTCAAATTTATCTATTTTTTGGAAACACGAGAAGTGATGTTTCAATTTCCGCATATAGTGTATACAGGGTATCCCGTAAGTTTTTGCCAACTGCTTTTGTATAAATAGAATGAACTGAACCGAATCGAAGAGTCCTCTACCATTTTGCAATTTTTGCAATGGTTAACGAGATATTAATTATTAAAAATTGCCGAATGTTGGCCTTCAATAATTATTTTACTCAAATACTATCAACTTTATAGAAAAACAGCGAGAAACAAAAATTGTTTATTTTCTTCTTATAAAGTTATGAGAATTTTTTCAGAATTTTTTAATACCATATTTGCTTATGTTGGTAAAAATAAGAAAATAGAGTACTAAAAAGTTGATAAAAAATCGTAGAGTTCTATGAGAAGAAAATAAACAATTTTTGTCTCTTGCAGTTTTTCTATAAAGTTGATAGTATTTGAGTAAAAAATTATTGAATACTAATATTCGACAATTTTTAATAATTAATATCTTGTTAACTATTGCGAAAATTGCGAAATACTAAAAAACTTTTCGACTTAATTTTTAGTGCGCTCTATCTATAAAACAGCGGTTGGCAAAAACAGGACACTCTGTATATATAAAAGTATACTTTATGTAGTTTTACATATAAATAGAGTCAAAATTTGGACTTTCGTATTCCTACGCAATGTGTCAGAATATTTGATATCATTAAATGTTTTCTAGCTACTCAAATAATCGTAATTGCAGAATTGATTTGAGAAAATAACTAATCTTAGTGTGAAACAAATATCAACAGCCACGTGTACAATCGATATAATCAATTAGCTTAACGATCAACAATTATATATTTCTGAGAATAAAATATTGAATCTAATAATGTGCGTATTGTTGATGTACAATATTAACAATTTTTTATCAACTTTAGACGCAAGATTGCAAACTTATCTGAATAATATTAAATGCTAGTCTCTCCTCGCCTGTGAACTCACCGGAAAAAAAAGATCGAAACAAATTCCGCTAGTAATTTCGCAAATACGGTATTCACGTCTGTTGAGCTATTCTACATACTACAGGAATCAAATAAACAAATCAAACTTGAAACGTAATTATTTTCAACATATAGTATTATAAAAAAAAACAAATTGCGTTAAGCGAATCAATCTTGAGGCTTTTACAAAAAAGCGACAATTTGATTGGCTACAATCGGCTACATGATCGAAAGATCGATTTTTCTGATACTGTAGTATTGACCGTAGGATTAGAAAAAAAGAATCCTAATTTTTTTACTATTAACAAGTTCTTAGGGTACTATTCCATGATAATCAGAATTTCGGAAAACGGAATCTTGGAAAAATAATGGAGTGGGGATCAATCAATCTGAATTATTGGTATACATTACTGTATCTGCAAGTATACGTTAAATACAAGTTATCGAAATTGAATTTTTATACGTATAAAAGAAATTCATTATTAATAAATAATTGTTCGATAAGTGTTCATTAATGTATGAGTATTCATTTTTCCAGTATATAAATATAATCATTTATATCGTTGGAGATAAAATTGCATGCTCGTCGGTCCGAAATTGTGGCTGGATTGCCCATGAATGAATATTTCTGAAATTGTGAAAAATCAGAAAATTTATTTTAAACATTTTATGAAAAAAGATAATTATTATATAGTGGAAGAATCCGCAAGAAAATAAAATTTCGAAATTTTTTTTATTATAGACAGAAGATAATGAAGGAATCTTTTAAATTAAAAGACGGTTTGAGGTTTGAATAAAAACCTCAGTCCGTTTTTCGAAAAAATCTCCCAATCACGAGGAACTCAGCCACAAATTTCGGGCAACAAGCACGCAATTTTATCCCCAACAATATAAAATGATTATATTTATATGCTGGAAAAATGAATACTTATTGAACAATTATTTATTAATAACGAATTTTTTTTTACATGTATATAGAAATACAATTCGATAATCTTGTATTTAATGTATATGTGCAGACGAACAGTAATCCCAATAATTCTGATTGGTTGGTCTTCACTGTATTACTTTTTCAAGATTCCATTTTCCGAAATCCGATTCATCATGGGACAGCATCCTTAGTCAGTATATTTCCCAGGCTATCAAAGAAACCGTTGAAATTATGCAAATAGATTTGAAATGTATAGAGTAATCGTAAAAATAACTGTTTAAATTGTTGTGACAAAATGTAATATTACTGTTAACATTACAGATGAGAAAAACTGACATCGTACTAATTCATTACCAGAAAAGAAATAACTGTAACAGTAACGTGTTTATTTTTTTTTAACTGTATATATTTTATGTAAGATTACGTGCACACACGTAAAAAATAACATTTACTATGTAGAAAAAATTAATTATTTATGTATATGTAGCTATGAATTACAATTGGAACCATCGACCAGGCGCAAGGGACTTGGTCGCTTTATGATGTCAACTCTGGAATCCATGGCATATCATAATCAAATGACGAAAGTTGTTTTAACCGTTTTCAAACACAATTCATCAGCAATACAATTTTTCTACGCTCTTGGGTAATGAATTTTTACTAACGCTATTATAAATATACAGATTAATATGATTGGTTCTTGCCTTTAGTTTTTTGCTAGATCTAAGTGTAGAAATCAATTATATTAAAGAATCACTCACTGAGTTTTCTCTGCTGAACGCAGCCACTGAGAACCCGTATCCGCGGTTCATTTAAACATTTGAGTTCCCTTATATTATATTTTCTACGCTATTAACGTTAGTTCTTAAAGCTTATTAAAAGTTATTCTTCACAAAAATTGATCTAGACGACTTTTCTTTTTTTTTTACCTTGTTTGAGACCTTATACGTCTCATTTAAACAATTAGATAAATTGCTAAATTAAAAAATGAAAACAACTATTGCATTTTTTAATTATTCGAGCAGGAAAAATTGATAGATTAAAAGTGTTAGTAGTACGTTTGAGGGACTGAGTTTAAAACATGATGAATTTCATATTTTTATTAATGTGACTTTTTACATTAACATTACATAATAATTAATAATTACACTAAAATCATAATTCTTAGGGTCACTTTAACAAGCCTTATTGACCGATTAGTCCATTGAGATTGACTAATCACATTTATCATTCGACAGATGTGACTCGCCAATTCCAATGGACTAATCGACCGATTAAGTTTGTTAAAGTGATCCTTTAGGTCCTCTTTCACCAATTCCAATTAACTCAACCACTATGACTGCCAACATGAGAACTAAACACAGTTTGTCTCCGAAGAGGAAGAGAGAGGAGACGTTTTGATACATTAAACTGCTGGTGCTTCTGCGAGTTGATCGTCAATTAATTTAACCAGAAGTTTGTGAAAGAGGCCCTTAGTCATTGTGTTGTTGTGTATTTTGTTTGTTTTGATGTCACCATCTTAAATAATTTCATACTGAAATAATATTGTACTACGAAGTTACTTCAGAATGTACAATACTTCACAGTATTGTAATCACTGTATTATAATACAATATATTGTTCATTCCAACAAAATCGTAACAATGCTCCAATGTTTTAATGAAATTTAATGTGTGCAAATCATTATTCGTATGAAAAAAAATTGAATCAGAGTTATCAAAAGATGACTCTGATTCAATTTTTTTTCTGACCAGTAATTTTTCCATGGCTTCGGATAATGTTGGCAGTAAATTAAACAAAAATGCATAAGTAACTTTGACATACTGTAACTCCGCGAAAAAATCATACAAACTTTTCCTTTTTTTTTAATTTGTAAGAAAAAGTCCAAAATTTACGATGATGCTTGTGAGAAAAACTTATTTTGCTCCATACAATATGTCAAAATATGTACAATTGATGAAACATGTACTTACTTTTTAAACGGTGCTGGAATACGGGAAGATTCGAATCACGTTTCTTTAAGTAAAGCCTCTATCCTTGAAAGTGTAAAAAAATTTTTAAATAATTTTTCACACAATTATGTTTATTTGAAGTTACGCTAAATTTTTATATAATTTTAATTATGCGTTAATTTTGTGGACAAATGTCTATGTATATATAACTGTTGTATAACCCAAATCTATTTTACACTGTATATGATTGACTAATATCAAAGTATTCACTTTTGATGAGATAGTTCTGTATTGGTTTGTATCGTTACTCAATTTGCATTTTGGCTGTCAAGCTGATTTCATAATGTATTATTTTAATACATTTTGTATTTTTTATACAAAAATACAACTTGTATTGTTTCTTTATAAATAATACTTATAAATATCTTAAATATTTAGTATTAGTATTCTTAATCAGGTAAATAAAACTATCCACAAATAAATAATGAAACTCTTGTGAATTTAATGCGTCACTCAAATACGAATGGCAATCAAAATGTTACTATTAAATTTAACTATTCGGATCTTTACTTTGTGTTTAATATTTTTTCTGTTCGATAGATAACTCAAATCATATTTAAGGAGAAAATGTACAGTGAAAATACTACTTATGTTTACTCATCCACAATTCGTGAGCAATCTAGTAACATCTTACAAAAGCATTTTTCAACTGAATACACATGAAATATATAGGATTTACATTTCACATTGTACAGAATTAAAATATCAAATAAAGAATGATAAATTAAATAGATGTACTATTCGACTTTGTAACAGTAAAACGATACCTTACCCAATATAAATTGTATTTTTTAAATGCTTCATTAGATATATCATCTATCAGTTCTTAAACATTATCAATGTCTTATATACACATCGTCTTATATATATACACACACACACACACACACACACACACACACACACACACACACACACACACACACACACACACACACACATAATTGGAAATGTCAAGTCATAAAAATTGCTATAAAATTAATAATTATCAAAATAATAAAATAAATAATACATGAAAAAAATCACTTTTTTAACATGTATGGTAATAAATATTAATTCAAATTAATATCACAATTACGAAGAACTATTGTTTTTTTTTTGTTTTCAGTTGTTAATACAATGAATTTTTGATACAATATATGCGCGCACGAGACAAACTAGACTATGCAATTATATGTATACATAATACACATATATTTACGAATATCTTCATTTCTTAAATATACTTAAATATATATCGAATTTCTTGTTGCAATTTAATTTGAATTGTGCACTTGTTATAATATGCCAACTGTACTAAGCCAGACCTTTAATCAAAATGATTATAATTTTGTTATTGTAACTGTTATGTAATTATAACTTTCAGATACAAATTGGACAATTCATATCCACCGGTCTCAGATTTAGACTATATAATTTTGAGTAAACAAAATTTATGTGGATAAATGGAAAGTAATACATTACGTTATGTATTATATCTTCTCTCTGATTAAGACTGCGTCTTGTGAAATAAGATCGGCAGTATTTGATGCGGGCATAAGTTTACAATGGGCGATTTCAGAGATGGTCCGACATTATGAAACGTAAGAGGCGCTTTACTTATGGTCCAATCTTCCATATCGTTGAATAGTTTCGTCAAATCTACTTCTCCTGATTCCGAAACATTGAAGTGTCGCAAGAAAGAATTGTTAAAACAAGTATCCAAAGCTGACTGATGCAATACCATACCGATACCTTTGCCAGCACCCTCAGGAATGGGAAATGCTCGAAGACTAACAATATTTAAATCTACTGGAAGATTGTGACGAAGTGGTGAGAAATAAGCGTGCAGATCGAATGGTAGAGAATTATGGGGATGCAGTACTATGATTGGATGCAGTAACTCTTCCGAAGCTAAGTGACCGCTTAAAGATAATAATCCCGCCGGATGATTTTTTGGTACTGCAAAGGGGCAATTTGTTTCCTTCTTTTCCAGAATTAATGTAAATATATGATTTGTCAACAGATTGTCCATTACACCTTGTCCTAATCCTCGATTGTCATCCTGAAGTAATCTTCTATCTTGCATAATCTATAAAAAAAATTATTATTACGTTCATAATTATTGCGTTCATGTAAATTGAAAAATATCATGAGAGTGACCATTATGTTGTACTATCTCATATTAAAGAACGTAATGCGATGGGAAACATTTTAACATTGTTGATGTAATCATATTTGATTGACTTTTCTTACATGTAATTTATGTTCATTTAATATTATGTAATAATTTTTGCGACTGAAGGAGACATTGTAATGTTAAATCTAGTTTCGCTCGAATTTTAATGTTCTGAATACATTAAATATATAATTTATTGTCAACATTTTGTTTATCGCTAGTTCCTCTTTAAGCTTTTTTGATAATTTTATTTTCATATTGTTATACAAAAATGTTTATCACACAAATAAACACGATTATAAATTTTTGATATATATCGTAATATCTCACTAATGAATTGACATTTTATGATATGTTCCGATATTATTTATTATAATTATGCGTACGTAATAGATATACAAATAGATCTTATATAAAAGCAAGAACAATTATTTAATAAAAATATTGTATATCTGTATAGATAATCTAGAAGATGCCAAGAGGACCCTTCATGATATACCTTCACCATTGTCATATTATCATGCCTAAATGCATATGTCAGCTCTGTGATTAGGAAACTTTAATCACTATTAATTTAAAAACTATTATGGCATACATACATATTAGAGCCTTATTTCCCGATTTTTCAAATTCTTTTCATTTTACCTCTTAGAATGGCTCCACCCACAAAAATTTCTGTAAAATTTTAGCTCGAAATGATCGATAACCTGTTCCCGGCTCGTTAAATTAAAGCATTATAATATATTTGCATCCGCCAATTTTAGTCCTTTCCCCACTCTTTGTTCTCTCTTCAACCTTTTCTTTTCAATCTTCAAAGTTTAGCGGCGAAGTGGAGAGAGAGCAAGGGATTGAGGAAAGGAGCAAGAAAGTGAGAAAAGGACTAAAAATGATGGATGCGAATATTATAGTGCTTTACTTAAACTTTCTGTTCAAAGATATTGGGATTAAGGGAATGATAAATACTCATATGAATGACAGTCGATTTAGATATATCACTGCCTTTATTTTTAAAAGATTGATTAAAAAGTTGTCACTTGTGCGTAAGACCTTACTTCTTGCATCACTGAAAGGGATATATGTTCCCATTCAATTAGCATTAGTATTTTAAGTAAATACTTTTAACAATCAAAGATAACCGTGTGAGGGAAAGGAAAAAAGAAGAGGGAAGAGGAGATAGATACGCGCGAGCACATAAACATGACTGAGGCCCAGTTCCACAACTGACGGTTAACTCATAACTGAAGTTCAACTTCCCAGCAAACGAGAATGGATTGAAATGAATTGAAATGGATTCAGATTTTCAGAATGTATGTATGCCATAATCTGGGTTATTCATTGTCTGTTTCACCAACCTTGGTTAAGCTAACCGATGGTTATATGGGGCTCATTTAGACCCTGTTTCACAACTCATTATTACTTAAAATAAGTTAAACTTCGGTTAAAAGTTAACCATGAATTGTGAAATTGAGTCTAAATCTAAATAAGTCCCATGTAACCTTCAGTTAACTTAACCGAGATTGATGAAAGAGACCCTAAATCTATATAGAATTAATAAGATGAAGTACACACTTTTGTGGATGCATAGTAAGAAAATGAATTTGAATAACATCTGATTGATTGTTCCAGCACTATTATATGCAGGAAAGTACATATTAGGATACATTTGATTGATTATTTCCAATATTGTTATCGCCTTTTGATTGGCTATTTCCAATATTGTTTATGCGCAATGTGTATATGTGTGCGTGCGTGTGTTTCACCTTATATTAATTCCACTATGACTAAATCCGACCAGAGCACTTATTAAGGAACAAAGTTGGAATGGATTCCAATCGGAATTATTTCGTTTTCCTCAGAAAACACAATAGAAATCTAAGGAATAATTGAATAATTCCGATTGGAATTCATTCCGATTTTGTTCCATGATATCCAAATAATCTTCACGCGATACACCTTAGGTAATGTTAATGTCAAATTATATTGTAAGAAATTTGGAGGAAATGGACACAACAGACAACATCAGGGCTATGCGGGTCAGTGGCAGAACGGAAGTCTATTAATATGCAGGAAATCTGGGAGCCCGGAACATCCTGATATTTTTCTTATGTTATCGCTTATTTCTTACGATATTGTAACTTTCAAATCTCATAATTCAAAAAGTACTAATTAAAAAGAGGTTTTATCATAGTGTTTTGAAAAAAGTTCTTGATTCCAACTGTTAGATTTTGAAAAAAAGGATGTTTTATTTTTAAAAAGTCGATTTAATTTTGATGGCGCCATCCAAAGGATCAAATGATAAGATTTTAATAGATTATTTAAAACCCTACAACTTTTGTACGAAATATTTTTCTCAGAAATGCTTACTTTTCAAATACTTAAAGAATCCGGGACTTTTTGTATACCCTGTATAGGTATCTACATGTACGTATGTACATGATGCATATGTTTTTAAAATTAAGGTGTAACAAAAATTATAGCGTTTTTCACTGACAGAACTGTTACTTACAGAGGTGCGCACTCGATGCACATTAAAGCTGTTGTACACTAACTAATGTAAAAGTGTGATACCTCAATTAATAAAATACCCAATATTTTATCAAATACCACAATAAAATATATTGAGGATTTCGCGGTTTAATTCGTTTTTATATTTTTATTAAACGTTTTTTACATCGATTTGTATACAACGGTTTTAACGTGCATTGAGTACACACCAGCTCTACCAGTGAAAAACGCTATGATACTGCATATTTAATTTTACTAAATTTTTAATGAATATATTTTTCATTCAAGAAAATTACTATTACGTAAGTAATGTTGTGTAAGTTTTTAGTATAGCTTAACTTTTCATTTTACTTGTTTGCACTAATTGTAAGATGTACAACATTTTCTGAAGACAAAGTTCTGAAGACTAACTTACCTCAAGTTGACCAGACGCCATAGAGGCTACTCCTAATGGTTGCGCTGTAGCAACTGTTAACCTAACTCTTTTATCTTCTATATATGCGCTTGCTGCCATCGGATAATAATTCCCTTGTGTGGGAAGCTTAGAAAATCTTTGCCGTTGGATTATCTAAAATTAATTAGTAGATAAAGTATACATCACAATTATATCTCAACAAAAAAGTGTAACAAATCTTGTTTTAAGAACTAAAATTTTTAATTCATTACATCACATGCTTACATTGAGTCCATTTAAATCTGTGAAGAATTGGTTGCCGGATGCAATGTCTGTGTTGAAACGCATTGCAAGTTCATAGTTTTGTGTCTCCGTTATGTCGACTTCATTTAATATATGTAATCCGAGCCCATCACTGCCAGGAGAATTAAACAGTGTACAAGTATGCCGTACGTACGGTAATTCTATAAACACTTTCGATAAAATTGGTCCAGTTACTAAATGAATAATTGCCCTGCCGTCCATAAACACCACATCTGGTTCCGATTTGTCAGGCAGGAATAAGTAAGCGCCACTTCTATCTTTACCGGAACTTCTAGTACCATATTTTACGAAATCTAAATGCACAGGAAACATAGTATTGTCGACTCGTAAAGCCTTCAACAAACCAGATTTCCCAAAAGAAGCGGATAAATTCGGCCGTTGAGAAATTGAAAATTCTTGCGAATGTGACATAATTGTCAAATGATTGAAACCAGGTATCGATGGAAAACTTATGTCAGTGTTGAAAATCGTGACATTAGCCAGATATACTTCCCTGTT